ACACAGTTATTCTTAGGTGTTTAAATTTAACTGAAAAGTGGGAATAAGAGAGGGAGGAGATGTACAGTTCTGCACATGCTGAATCTGACTTGCTCCAAATGGTAGAGTTAGAAACATGCCAGGGTATTCCAATTCAATCCCATCAAGGTGGCATGTACCAATGCCATCTCACTAGTCAAAGTGATCAGTTTCAGTTCATAATTGATCATAATGATAGGATTAAGAGTCAAAGGGATCACGTAAACAAGACTAGTGTCTGCTAATACTAACTGATAGAATTAAAAAGGAGAGAACAATCCAACATGGGAAGCAGGATACACAGCAGTCCCATAGAATGGCAGATGTCCTAAACAGCGCTGTGGCCTCAGAATCAGCCCTTAAGGCATTCGGTTCTGGCTAAGAAGCCCATGAGAGTATTTCAGGCATGGAAAGCCAAGACACTGTGGCAAAAAAAAAAATTGACCTAAATGAAAGATCTCTGTGAGTGAGATCCCAGCTGAAAGAATGGGCCATCAAAGAAGGAGGTACCTTTCTCTGAAGGGAGGAGTGTACTTCCACTTTTTACTATGACCTTGTCTAAATAAGATTGGAGTTTGTGAACTCAAGAGGCTTCCATAGCCTTGGCAGCTCATGACAAGAGCCTCAGGTAATTACTGACGTCATAAATAAGAGTGTCAGTTGTTAAAACAACAACAGGAGTCACTGTGCACTTACTCCCCATGTAGGATCTCTGTCCTTAATGTATTGTACTATGTGATTTAACAGTATAACTATTACTCAAACAGTACTTTACACTTTGTTTCTGTGTGGCGCAAAGTGTTGAAATCTTTACTTAGTATATACTAAGTTGATCTTCTGTATATAAAGATAATTGAAAATTAATCTTGATGTGATTGGGATGGGAGAGGGAGGGGGAGATGGGATGGTTGCAGGTGGGAGGGAGGTTATGGGGGAAAAAGCCGCTATAATCCAAAAGTTGCACTTTGGAAATTTATATTTATTAAATAAAAGTTAAAAAAATAAACAATTAAAAATTTTAAAAAAAATTTTGTGATCCTTGTGCCTGGTGGGGCGTGTTGTGAGGTGGCCCCCACAATTGATTGGTGTGTGCACAAGAAGTGAATATGGCAGCCCACTGCTTATACTTGAAAATGTAAACAATCAATATGGCTTCTCCCCGCCAGCTGTAGGTCCGGTTGGGGGTAGGAGGAAGACACAGATGGATCGTGGTGTGTCCAACCTCTCCACCTGTTCCCCTACAATTTCTCTTTCTTCCCACTTAGAGCTTCAAGTGCCGTTCACCAGGTTTCCCTATCCGCCGCTGTCTGCAGCTCCATGGGCTCGCAACCTCTCACCTGGTTTGCTGGTGGAGCAGCGCCTGTCTCCTTGCTCTGTCCCTGCGCTGCTCCTTCGCTACACCTCCGCCATTTCTCCTTCCTATCTGCTCCCCCCAGCGTGGACCTAAGCAGTCTCTGGTGGACTACTGGGTCACTCTGGGCGAATTTATGATTCCGCCATGTGCTTGTGTCCCCTCTACTTATTAACTATCCATTTTGCCTTGTGCTGCTCAGAACGTCCTGCTACTATACCGTTATTTTCGGTTGTTTTCCTTAATTGATTTTTACTGATACTAATACGGAGAAAATACAGCTCACTTTCCTTTGGTCAGGCAATTCTTTTATAGGAGTGATCCACTTTTGTTTTTGATGAGAAATTCTTGTAATGTGCTGCTAGATTTGCTTGCTTTCTTTTTATTTAGATTTTTTTCATTTCCATAAATGGAGTTGATTTATCATTGTCTCTCCTTATGATAATTTAATCAACTTTTGGAATTTCTTTTACATTGGAATCCTGCAAAGAACTCGAGAGCTTTCCTTCATTATTTACATGTTTGCACCATTTCTCATCAGAATTAAATAGTCTATGAAGATCAGAAAGGAGTCATCTCTCAAGCCACTGCGTGAGTGGCAGTGTTTAGTAACTCAGCAAGCTTTTCATTTATTTATGTTCATTTCTTCCAGACCTACAGGTTTGTGAAGTCTCTGATTTTGGTGTTTGTTTCAATGACAAAACCTGTAAATCTCCCTGCATCTTCACCTATCCCCTCCTCCTTCTGTTTTATTAGAATGGAAAGAGTCTGTCTTCTCTCATGGCCAATTCTCTGTACCTGTATTTTAGATGTCATTCTCTTTGCCTTCTCCACACCATTTCCTGCACTGTAGAGTGCTCTCATCTACCTGTCTTTTCAAGCTTTTCCTCTGTTAAGGAATGAGATACAATAGCTGTTAAACATGGCCAAATCTTTACTCACAAAATACAAGTCCCAGCCCTCAACATTGCCTTTTCTTTTGGCTCCCCCTTTCCCTTTACAAGGTGACAACTTGACAGAGTTCCTGTCTCCATTGCCTCCCTTCCTGTCCATGTTATCCTGCTAGACTCTCACTTCCTCATCCATATACCCACTATGAAATCGAAACTGTTTTTGCTCAGGTTGCAGCATGCTACAGAATATAGGGTGATTTCTATGCTTGCTAATTTTATGGACAACCCTCTCAATATCTTGCTGTGAGGATGAGGAAAGAACTGACAACTGACACTGAAGGCAAAATAAGATTGAGAGAATTATTTATTTTTATTTTAAGTTAGGAGAGACTAAGATATGCTTGGACATTAGTGCAAGAGAAAGGGAAAAATTGAAAATAAGCCATCATTGTAGGATTAGTCTTCATGGAGGACAGAGTGCTGAGTTGAGTGGTCTTGGGCAAGGGCCTGAATGTCCTTCTATTTTTATAGGAGGGAAAGCAGAGGAATCAAGGCCGGGGTCGGGATGTTCACACAGGAGCTCCTATCCTATGGCCTTTATTTCTTCTGAAAACTAAAAGACAAGGCCTGCTTATCTGTTGTGCATTGACTTTTGATTAATCAACATAAAATATTTTGTAATTTAAAAATAGTGATGCAATAATTTTTAGGTACAGATAGTTTCGGATGGTGAGAATGTATATTTCCTAGTGGTATAGAGTAAGATTATTGGGTAGCATTGAGTGTCCATGTGAGATCTGTATCCCTTATTGCAAGTGAGTCCAGACAGTTGAATTTGTTTTTATAGCCATTTACATTTTGAAGTAAATGAGGAGAACAGTTGGATAATTGGCCTTCCTGGGCATGAGATTTTGCCAGTTGAGAATGACCAAGTGAATGAAGTTTAGGAATTGTTGAAGTTTCAAGGGGAGACAAACTCAAGGAGGCAGAATAGGAGTTTGACAGGAGACTGGGGGTCAGGTTCAGTCTTCAGGATGGGTGTGAATTTGTGTGGAGGCAGGGAACAGAGAGGTCAGATGTGGTAGGGATCTCCCACTTGGTTACTGAGTAGTAGAGGTAGATGGAAAGAGGTGATTGGGGTACTTTCTCCTTCCATGTGAAGGAAAGATGAAAATTTCCACTAGATTCATATGATAGCTAGAAAGACACAGAGAAATGTGAATAGACCATGAACTAGGCTATTTACAAGGAAACATGAAAATGAATATACACATCCATGGATCAAGTTCCCACTCTAAACTTCAGAACAAAAAATTCCACTCCCAAGAGTTCATTCTACAGAATTAAATTGGGCAAGTAGATACTCTATTAGGATACAAACCTATTTTATCCTTTAAAATGATGAATGAATATTTATGGGGAGAAAAACATCTGGAACAGGGTAAGTACCAGTATGTGCTGAATGATTTTTTTCGGTAAACTTTGGATTTACGGACAATGGTACTTGCTTTGCTTCTTCACTTTCTCTGCCTTTTTAAAAACTTTTTGTATAACCATATGTTATTTATGTAATTTGACAAGCAAAATATAAAATGAAGACCATTATACTACTGATAAATAAAATTTTTGGAGAACTCCTTCTTGTTGATAAGTTGAAGCCCAAATCTGACTCTTTTAAAGATATTCATTAATATAAATAGAACAGATTTCATGTATTTAATAGGTACAGATCTAAAGAGATAACCATATTTCCTTCCCTCAACCTCTCCCTCCCTCAATTCTCACTCCTTCTTTTCTTTCTTTTTTTTCTTTAAGTTTTGAAAAAACTTAATTTTAGTCCATTCTATAATCACAGGCTTAATTCACTACCATGACTCTTTTTTTTTAAGCCTCTCAATGTCCTTGTGGTTTTCCAAGTGTACCTCTTACTTGTGTCCTCACAGTGTCTTAAATCTGCAGTCTTAGAGTTTTCCTCTCTGTTCCCCAAACTTGCCTTGTGTTTTCTCTCTTCCCTTAGTAGTTCCCAACCCTGACCTCAATGCCAACTGGAGCCCAGTTTGTTAGGCAAAATCTTTCTCTTTCACAGTTGAGGCCAAAATACTTCCTACAAGAAAATTCTATATTCTCCATGTGAACTTCACTCTCTCTTGGTAATACCCAGACGTCAATTTTTGAAATACTTTTTTTCAATTATCCCAACTTGCTTTGAACTAGTTATTTTTGTCTTTTACTCTTCTTTGTAAATTACTGGAGAGCTGGAAGAGCATACCTTTTATCTTTGAATCTAATGCTATCAGTATCAATATCAATCTAGGAGGTATGCAAATAATGTTCTTAATCATATTTTAAAAGTATGTTACTCTACAGCACAGAGAGTGAAACTAATGTGAACTGTGAACTTTATCATGTACTGACATTGGTTTATCAATTGTAATCAGTGTAGCATACCAACACAAGATGCTAATAATAGGGAAAACTAGAGGTGTAGGACAGAGTCTAGGGGAACTCTCTACTCTCTCCTCAGTTTTACTAAATGCCTCTAATAATTGAAGTAAAAAGATACGGAAGCTCAAACATTGTTTTATGAACTCGTGTCTGTGATGCATTTGTCATTTGAAATACACCCATCAGTGTTCATTATGGTTGTCTCAAGCTTTTCTTGAATAACAATAACTTCAGCATTGCTTCTTTTAAACTTGAGTTATGTGTGAAGTAACTAGTTCTTTGTTTTTTTTCAGGTGAACATTTTCTGCAATAACTGCTACCACAGTAGTCCGGCAGAGTACTACAGGATCTTTTCAATGCACTGTATTAGCTCTCAAATGGGTGGTGCTGACTGCGCTAAACACATATGTCGCTTCTCTGTAGACATTGTTTCTACAGGTACAGTTAACAGTTTTTAACCTAGAAACCTTTTACTTAAGGTATACAAACTTCATGGGTTTCATATATACAAATTTAGGAACAGTTAATATTTTTTAAAATTGAAAATTAGATGTGACCTGTTTTTAAAAAATATTTGATTAATTGGATTTGGGGATGGTTAAAGGCATCATTTCCAGGGTCAAATTTGGAGCATGCTTATTTGACGAGAGGGTTTTAGTGACTCTGCCAGTGTAGTTTGCACTCTCAATGGCCCTTTGATGTGTACTTTTGGAGTTGAAAACTTTATGCAGCAAGTAACAGATTCATAATACTTTTTAAAACACGTGCTATACTACTAAATTTTTTTTTGGATTCAGTTACTAATATTCTAATTTTTATTAATATAAGTACTTACTTACTTTGCAAAAATGCTTTCTTTGTGTACAAAAATTAAAGCCAAAATCTGGCTAAAAGATCCCTAGCAGCAGCAACCAGTTCTCTTCTGCTGTCAGCTTGTTATGACACTGACAGGACTACAGTTAGTATAAAATAAACAACTTTCATGAAAGCAAATTTTATAAATTTTAAACTAAACATTTTACTAATACATAAATTTTATTAAAAGACAGTGCTTCATCCCACAGCCTTGGGCATGTGAGTTTCTAATGTAATTCGCAAAATTACAAGGTACTATTTTAAACACTTTGTCCAGATTCTTTAAAATAAGGGTTTGAGATAACCCTGTACCCTTCTGAGCACGTGTGTGTGCTCATTTTTTCAAACATTTAATTGGAAGTAATATTTATTACAATTTACAGATTAGTTAAGTTATATACACAAAGAGTTTTAGCTATAAAATCCCAACTGATTACATTTAAATCATTACATCCTAAAAAGCCAATTTATATGTCCTCCTGTTCCTTAACTTCACTTCCTTAAAATATAAAAGTATAAAAAGTCTGATACTTTTGATTTCAAGTTATAGATGAAGAGCTATTATCATATTTCAATTTGTCATTATCAGATATAAAATTGTGTTGTATTTTGCCTAAGGCAACAATTGGTTCATTTTATGATAGAAGAATTGATATTGGCAAGGTGAAGATAAAAAATATTTAGGCCATGCCTGTAAAGAGCTCACAGTAGAATTGAAGACGACAGCCATGTGAATCTAGTAGAATGATGTGATGTGAACAACATTACTGATGAAAGCAGTGGGAATTGACTATCTGTAATGATATGAAATGGGGCAGGCAGACTGGGCAGGGTGCTGTCTGAGCAGGACTCAGTATTCCCACAATCCCTTTTCTAAGTTGCATTTTGAAAGATGAAGAGAAGCAATATTTTGCACATGTTTTAAGTGCAATCTACTGCCACTTTACTTGGACACAAAGAGCCAAGTCAGCTCAGCTACAACAGGCATGTTTCTATTTCACTTTCATTAGATGTAAAGTCTGAACTTGACCTTTGCTGCTAGCTACTAATGTTCCAAAGATCATTGTCTGGTGGTAGCTAGAATTTGTTACCTATTCAGTCAGAAGTCTCCAATTATGAGAGAAACGGCCCCTGTGAGTACAAATTTGTGCAATTTCTTTGTCCCAGTAACCATGCCAACAACATGTAACCACCAGTGGTAGCCTCACTAGAAGAATTCTTTTCATGATTGGAAGTAGTTGAGCACAGCTGTAATGTGAAGAGAATTTATTGAAGTTGCAGAAGAGAGCGGAGAGGACTGATGAAACAAGGTCTCTGAGGCAGAAGGACAGGATAAGACCGAAGGTACAGGTGAAGAGATTTACTGCTGCAAAATGAGTGGAGTGAATCAGAGTAATAGACCTCACTGAGGTGACAGGGAAAGTGGATCCAAGAAGAAGGCCTCTTACCAGTCATCCTCAGGCTTGTCAGAATACTTGCCGGGAATATAGCAATGAAATACAGTGAAAGCAATGAAAGGGTTCAAGATTGAAAAATAGTAGGAATCCAAAAGAAGGGGAAATGGTCCTCTTTGGTTTCACATAATGAAGAGTTAATATGTGTGATTTCCTTGTTAATTAGATACATATTTGAGTGCCTCACTGTGTTTCAGATTCCATACTCTAAAGGGGAACACTATAAAACAGTAAACAAATAAACTTAAGAAAAAAATTATAGACTGCCTGCTTTTGAGGGTTGGAATACGTACTGTGATGGTAAAACTGAGGGGATTGGTTTACTGTAGATAGTACATTACAGAAGGCTTCTCTGAAGGGGTGACATTTGATTTGAGACTTCTCAATGTAAGTCACCAGCTGGAGGAAATATTCCAAATGAAGAGCATGTGTAAAAGTCCTGTGGTGGAAAAATTGGGGCATGTTGTAGGATCTAAAGGGAGGACAGGATGGCTGGCGTGTGAAAAGCATGTGTGGTATTATTTGAATGAGGGGTGGCATGAGAAGGTAATTGTTAATGCCATCAGGATCTAGATTGTGTAGCTTTGGTTCTGTGTTAAATACTGTCATGGTTTGAATGTTAATTGTCCCACTAAGGCCCATGTGTTAAAGCTTGGTCCTTGAATGGCACTGGAGGTGGTGGAACCTGGAGGAGGGAGGTCTAGTAAAGCCTGAGATTGGGCCTGACCATTCTCTCTGTTTCCTGGCTTATTTTTTTATTCTTCCTACACATATGCTCCACCCTTTGCCATGGGACCTTTGCGTAAGCTTTGACCCTCCAAAACTGTGAGCTAAATAAACCTCAATTTACTTTATAAGTAGCATGTCTCGGGTATTTCCTTGATGTAATGAGACGATACTAACATAATTACATAACTGATATTCTCAGATTAAATCCCAAGAAGATTCTTCTGTTGGGGGACGGTGTTGTGTGGAGGGTGAACTCTCTGCCTGCAACACCAGCATCCCATATGGATGCCGGTTCAAGTCTGGCTGCTCCACTTCCCATACAGCTCTCTTTTAATGGATAGGAAAGCAGTGAAAGATGGCTTGGGCCCTTGCCACACATGTGGGAGACCTGGACAAAGATCATGGCTCCCTGATTCAGCCTGGCCCAGCCCTGGCAGTTGCAGCTATCTGGGGAGTAAACCAGATGGAAGATCTTTCTCTGTGTGTAATTCTGCCTTTCAAATTAAAATGTAAATTAAAAAAAAAAAGAAAAAGAAGTCTTTTTAGCTAGCCAATGTGTTAATCTAGGGATAGCTCCCCTTTTTCTTTTTTTAAACATTTATATTTTATTTGGTATTAAAAGAAATCTTGAAACAATTTAAAATATATAGAATGATACACTTTGGTTGAATGTAAATACTGTGCCAATTTATGTACAGGAGTTGAGAATCTGTGGATTTGGGTATTTGTGGAGGATCCTGAAACCATTCTCATGTGTGGATGCCAAGGGACAACTGTGTGCTCAAGGCATAAATTTTTGAACATTATTGTCATATAAATTTATAGGACAACAAAAATCATGTCTAATAATCCTGGCAAGAGATTATGGCAGTAAGAATTAGACATTGGCAACAGAACAGAAGAGAGCTGAGACATAGGAGAAATGTTATCCTGATGGAATCTCTAGGATTTGTTGAGGGATTACATGTGAGAGGTGCAGGAAGAGTCTGCGATGATAGACCTTCCCAGCTTGGAGAACCGGGCAGATTGTGCCATCCTTAATAGAACAAGAACAAGAACTGCAGTAGCAGAAACCAGTTGGGAAGAAAGGAGGATTTGGTCCATGCAGCTCCCCTTTTTCTTTTCTTTTTTTCTTTTTGTTCACTCCACTCGGAAGTGGAGGAGCTGGGACTCTAACTGGTGCCCACATGGGATGCCAGCACTGCAGGCGGTGGCTTTACCCATTATACCACAGCACCGGCCCCTTCTTATAGTTTTACTTTATTTTTTTAAAGATTTATTTATTTATTTGAAAGTCAGAGTTACACAGAGAGGAGAGGCAGAGAGAGAGGTCTTCCATCCAATGGTTCACTCCCCAGTTGGCCACAATGGCCGGAGCTGCGCCAATCAGAAGCCAGGAGCCAGGAGCTTCCTCTGAGTCTCCCATGTGGCTTCAGGGGCCCAAGGACTTGGGCCATCTTCTACTGCTTTCCCAGGCCATAGCAGAAAGCTGGATGGGAAGTGGGACAGCCGGGTCTCGAACCGGCACCCATATGAGATGCCAGCGCTTCAGGCCAGGGTGTTAACCTACTGCACCACAACGCCAGCCCCAACCCTTTTTCAATATGCTTCTTTAGTGACTGGTGAAGTCATTGAAGTATCCTCATTTCCACTGTTGGCATTTTTGCAGTTGGCTTTAGCCCATGGGTCACGTACAGGAGACTAGTGGGCAATGAGATCCTGGAATCATTATTCCTTTAGCTATCTCATTGTTGGGCTATTGACAGTGCTTTTATGCCTCCTCCAATGGCCACAGCTCTGTTGGGCAACCCCTCTTACAGCTTAAGCTGTTCCTGCGTTGTGCATAACTTCCATGAGGTGTCTGAAAAAAAGTTTGTAGAAAATAGACATTATCAATTGTTAAATCAACAACAGGAGTTACTGTGCACCTACTCCCCAATGTAGGATCTCTGTCCTTAATGTGTTATACTATGTGAATCAAATGATATAACTAGTATTCAGACTATACTTTGTGTTTCTGTGTGGGTGCAAGCTGTTGAAATATTTACTTAGTATATTCTAAATTAATATTCTGTATATAAAGATAGTTGAAAATGAATCTTGATGTGAATGGGATGGGAGAAGGAGTGGGAGATGGGATGGTTGTGAGTGGGAGGGAGTTATGGGGGGAAAAAGCTGCTATAGTCCAAAAGTTGTACTTTGGAAATTTATATTTATTAAATAAAAGTTTAAAAAATTTTTAAAAATAAGAAAATAGACATTATTTGGGCCGGTGCTATGGCATAGTGGGTTAAGCTGCCACCTGCAGTACCAACATTCCATATGGGTGCTGGTTCCTATCCCGGCTGCTCTACTTCTGATCCAGCTCCCTGCTAATGTGCCTGGGAAAGCAGGGGAAGT